AACAACGAATTTCGACCTGTTATCCCAGCTAGTCTTAGATTAAATATCCTGCAAGAGCTCCATGACAGCCCTTTAGCTTCTCATGCTGGTATTCGAAAAACTATCCAACGCGTACGCGAGGCAGTCTACTTTCCTGAACTGCAAAAGTTAACAAGGGCGTATGTCCAGTCCTGCCCAACATGTCAAGCCGTTAATTATATTAATTTCCGCCCGGCCGGGTTTCTAAATAGTATTAAATCCGAATTTCCAAATGAAATAATCGGCATCGATTTATTGGGCCCTTTCCCAAAAAGTCAGTTAAATAAAAGTCGCTATCTCCTTGTTATGGTTGATCATTTTAGTAAATGGACCGAAATTGTTCCCTTAAAACGAGCCTCCGCGAAATTAGTTACTGATTCTATTTTAAATAAATATATTTTAAAATACGGGGCGCCCCTAAAAGTTATATCGGATAATGGTCCTCAATTTGTAAGTAATATATTTGAAGACATGTGCCAAAAACTGGGCATACGTCATTTAAAAATGGTCCCGTATCGGCCGCAATCAAATATAGCGGAACGGGTCAACAGAAATATAGTGAAAATTATCCGTAGTTATGTTAAAAATTTTCATAAAAGCTGGGATAACTATGTCAATGAATTTGCTTTCGCCCTTAGGACCGCAAAACATGATACAACGGGCAAAACTCCTGCTGAGTTATTTCTAGGCAGAAAGATTATAACACCGTTAGATAAATTATTTTATGTGCAACAAAGAGCCCCAGAATTTAAAATGGGTGATATAGAAAAACTAATAAAAGAAGCAAAAAAGAATACGGAAGTAGCACAAAGAAAACAGAAGTTATATTATGATCTGAAACGACGGGGAGTAACTTATAAAGTAGAGGATGAAGTTTTAAAAATTAAGCATTCACTTTCTTCAGCACCAGAAGATAAAACTGCCAAATTTTTTCCACGATTTGAAGGACCATATGTTATAGAAAAAATAACTCACGCTGTTGTAGTGTTAAAGGCCAGAAATGGTGAAACCTGTTCCGCAAATATTGATCAAATTAAGCCCTACTTCGATCGTAATAAAATGCAAATCTTTTCAGATCTTTTGCAGGATCCGGCACGGCAGACACCGCAGGTACAAGTTCCAGAGGTGGGAAAACGACAAGTACAAGGGCAAGCCATGAGAGACAGAAGCAAGTGAAAAGAAAATTGCCCCGCGGAAAAATTGAAGGTAAAAGAAAAAGAAGCCGTTCCACCGTCCAGAAAACAGAGTTCACGAACACCCCCAGAATGAAGAAGGGAGAAGGACGACGTATGTGAAGAGGACCAGGAGAAAGGACGGCAACTATAACCCGGCTTTAAAACGGAGGATCGACTCATCCGACAGAACTCTCCGCAGCAAAAGTCGCCGAACTGCGGAAGGGCCATCAGCGGCGGAGGAAAAAGTACAAGAAAAATTTGAACGGCCAACAACGAGGTCCAAGCAGGATCACGACAGAAGTTTCCCGGTTCCGCCAAGACCAGCTGCCTTCAAACGGCCAAGACCACAAGCAGAGGGGAAAAGGAAGGTGTTCAAGGGTGGCCGTACTGGTGAAAAACGGAAGCTTCCAGAGGAAAGCACTGAAGGGCGAGCCCGTACAAGAAGGAGGATAAACCAGGCTACGGTCTGCAGTACCTTTAAAGACTGGGCCCAGAAAAGGATGTCCGAATATTACAAAGATAAGTAAAATTTTATGTTACGTTTGCAAACTTAAGTTAATCTTTCATTCTTACTGCAAGTGGCAGATTTCAAGAAGTTTTACCTCATGCGAGGTCTACCTTTATCGCCAAAAGGGCGAGAAATGAGTTGTGACCGATTTTCTTATTATGTTTTTCAATTACTCGCGCGTAAAACTAAAGTTGATGTATAATAGCGTTGTTTAAAGACTTAAATATTGTAAAAAGTTATTGTATAAATTTTATTTAAAACATTCTAGCAAGAAAGAAGTTTTAGTCTGAAAGACTTTTTGAAATGTAGTATTATTTCAATGTAGAAAGAATTGGCACTTGCTTTGAAAAGAATAGAAGTTAACAATGTACTACTAATGTATGTTTTCAAATGTGTAAAATTAACGGCATGTTGATATGTTCTTATATACATGTTTTCTGTTATTTTAAATGTTAAGAAATACCGTGATATGGTAAAAGTGAAAGTAATGTTAAAAATTTGTTATTCGTGTGACTGTAAAGACTAAATCATGGCGAATATATGTTAAAGGTTGAATGATGTAGTTAGGCTCTCTGACGCTACACTTTAGAGTTAGCCACTTTTAGAATAGTACCTCAGGGTTTAGAGTTGAAAGTAGGGTGTGTTAAGAGGTCTCGTTATGTTGAATTTTAACACGTTAGTGTTTTGATTGTAGGAGGAAGTGTTGGCAACACATAGACATAAACACATTCGTGTTTGGGTGTTCTTTTACAACACATGTCAGAGAGCAAGGGGAGAGATAATTAAAATAGTCATGAATGAAATAAGAATGTTAAGAGAAGTATATTCTATATGTTATTTGCAATGTCATTGTGTAACATTTCATTAAACTAGTTTTCCTTCCAGATCCCTGGAAGGAACCAGAATTGAATAAAGCTCCTGTTTAGATGCAGTACAGATGAAAAAAAAAAAAAAAAAAAGATTGTTGTAGATCCTGGGAGCTGCTATTGTAACAAATTTCTTTCTTTTAAATTTCTAGTTTCTAGGGAAGTTGTGTTTTGTAAAAGGTTGGCCTCGCGTTAGATTCTAGAGCTAAAAGTTTTCAACAAGGTCGTTTTAGACCTCAGTTTCAAACTAATTAACTCTGGCGGGAAGTATGTAAGGATCTTAAGTTTTACTAACGTTTATTTTATTTTAAATCTTTACTATCACTTCTTATTTTCTACTTCCGGCCAGAATTATAAGCGTGAAGGATTTTATGCAAAGTTTGTCTGGCGAACGCCAAGTATTTAAGTGTGGCCTTTTTGCCAAGCAAGAGAGAGGAAGCAGTGAGTTCGAAGCAGGCCGCTTACCTTAGAAGTTACGCAGTTGCTATTTGCCTTCCAGGCCAGAGGTTTTAATCCTCTTGATAAATTAAACGTATTGTAGTGTTCACAGTCTCTGTGCTACATACGCTTCCTGTTATTATAAGGCCAATCTTCCACGTTGTTATTCTAAAGTTAAATTAGAGTTTAGTTTTTTTTTTTATACCTTTTACGTTAGACCCCGAGTGGAGGGTCATTGTATTCCGAAGTACGGAAGTCATTGTATATAAAGAAAAATAAAGGGTTTTGTATACCCTTCGTCTGTATCCTGTCTACTTACTACAATTAGTGAACATAGCTTTAGTAAGCTCTCTGTTCCTAGTCAGGTCATTGTATGTTTCCGAAGAAGGTTAGAAGAAACATTGAACCTGATAAGTCAATTTCTTCATCTAGAAAGAGTAGTGTTAGAATAGTGGATTTTTCAGAAAATAATAAGCATTATACCTCAATATGTCTTTACAATTTGCCAATCTATGAAGGAGTTTTATAGCTTGTTGAAAAATACTGCAAGCGAAAATTCATGAGCGCGAATTTTTAAGTGAAAACTACAAACTGCGCATCTTTCTAGAAAACACCCAACTAGATTTTAGTGCCGTGTGGTATGTAATCGATATGAAATGTTTAAAAGAACTGGGGCTAAACGAGAGCTCTGCAAAACCATTAGGAAAATTTTGCGTCACATAAAAAAAGAATTTTGTTTCGCTAGTTTAGTGATGAGAATAATGTAGTGTAACTCATACTTTTGCGTTTAAAATCTTTAAAAAAAAGGAACTCTATAAGAAATATGCAACTAAAAATGAATAATCTTCTATTGTTGCTTAAACATTTACTACGTCAACAAGAAGAAGAAACTAGTTCTGGAAAATTTGCAGATATAACTCTGATTTTTGTTGTTTAACTTCTAATATAAAAACTTTTATGAATTTTAAGATACTGGTTTCATTCGTCGTCGGCAGTAGAATTTGTTACACACACTTTATATATTAAATATTCAACAATTCAATCAACACATCAGTCCTTGAACTTAACTGCTTTAGACAGAAACATAATAGCGGGGCGCTCAGAACCTACATTAGAAGTAAAGTCTTCACAAAAACTTTCCTAAAAAAATGGGCTGGTATTCGTTTTCATATAACAGAAAACTCTAAAATCTCATCCAGCTGGCGTTTTTAGCGGTAAAGAATTGCACTCGTGATGCAGTCACTATACAGCAATTTTAATTATTCGTCCATCGGTTAGCCTTTCTGCTTTAGAAGTTCGCTGCTCATCAAGTAGAGTGGTTAGTGACGCCGTACCGAGATCGGCCAGGGTGCGAAAACCGGAAAAAACACAGATATTTGTAAGCATATAGTGTCTGCGTGACAAGGGAGTACTCAAAATACACGGTGAGCCTGAAGTCCTCTTGAGAATTTGGTGTTAGCGGAAGAGGAGTGGGAGAGCTTTGGAGCCCCTTTGGGTGTTCTTAATCAAAACTGGTGCAGAACTGTGCAGTCAATGAAGCGAGACTATACTTGTAGGACCAATGGTGAAATTTTGGTGCCGCGCCCACTTCTATCTGCAGCTACTTAAAAGAACATAGTTAATGGCATCATTCCAAAGCCGTTATCAGTATACACATTTTGCTGTTTTCATCTAAATGCATTTTGTAGACAGTTGTTCAATGTTTCATTCTGTACCAAAATAGGAATGTTTATAATTATCAATGTAGGATTCATTTCCCGATTTCTCAAAGTTTCCCCGTTAAGCGAGCCTTTTTCGGAGCGATTTTGCAGATTTTCGTGGTTTACTTGTACTGCGACGATGTCGACTCTACACGTTTCGCATTGATTTATCAAATGTAACCCTCGTTCTGTTCCAAACGATTTCTAAAAATAAAAATAATTTTCTTTTCATTATATATATTCTTCTAATAATCTTTTTTTTCAGGCAATTATTTATAATTAATAAACTCTTTAGCTTTTGATGACAATATATTTCGTCCATTCTTGTTGTTTCTTAAGGTTATTAAAGATGAAGATCTGAAAGCCTATAAAGAACGAACTCGAAAAGATAAAGGGTAAGTATTTTATAATTTTTTCTCCGAAATGTCGTCTTTTTATCATAATTTCTTTTCAGAAGCATCGAATTCCAACGTACGTTTTTTTTGGAATGTTTTTGCTATTTCTTGCATTATCAATATGAGTATTGATACTGAATAATTATGCTTTAAAACGAGTTTTAATAGATGTGAGCTCATATATTTATAAATAATTTTCGTAAACAGACTCATAACCGTCCTCATTATTCTACCTACAAATATCAAAACAACAATTGTTCTCTGCATACTGCTCATAGTAATATTTACAGATTCACTAACTTGTATTATTCTGAACTTGACTAGCTTTGGAAATTTCTTACTAAAACTGTTACAGTTTTTAAAATGCCACGCATATGCGAGGAACGATTAAAAAGTTCGTAGAACGAAGTGCAAGAAACAGTACTAAATGAACTAATATTCTTTATTTTTAACATAATCCTCTTATACGTATTTTTCCAGCATTCTTTTTTCCATAATGCACTTCCATTACACCCTGGTGGAAAGGTTTTTCTTCACTACCTAAAAACGAATAATCAACAGCATTCACTGGTCTAACTCAAATTCAAAACGCAACCTACAAAAGTATTATTTCAGGTTTTTAAATGGGAAAAAAATTATTTGAAGCAGATATGAGTATGAGAGGATAAAGTAGCAGTTGGAATCCTGAAGAATGTTCAGTAACTAGTGTCTTAGCAAGTTGCTTGTAGAGCTGGACGCTCCATTCCGGAGCTGATTCGAAGAACCAATTTATTGAGCGAATTAACAGTTGATTCCAGGAAACAGAGTGGTTTCACTTTTACAGTTCACAAAGAGCTCTTTCTGGAAACTTTCCAGAAACAGATATGTACTATTCGTTCATGAACTGAATCACTCTGCTGAGCAAGCAAGCACCTGTTTCACGAAAATGAGAGCGAAGCTCTTTTAGAGTTTGCCCAGTGTGAGCACTTGCTGGAAACATGAAGATGTTCGATTCTCAGTTCAGTTCTTGAACAAGTTCGTTTCCCAATTTAGAGAGAATAGAATATTTATTCTCCCTTGTTAAAAGTGAGTTTAATTTTTATCATTTTCCAACTTTTTGAAAAAAAATTTTATTTAAGAATCTTAGTGTTAGTTTCATGTAGAAAGGAGGTTTTAGCAAATTTCAAAAACTACAGTTTAAAGAAATCAGTTCTTTTGAATGAGCATCTTTTGATCCCACTGCTTGTTCAATTCTTTTCACTTTTCGCTCTAACCTGGCTCACCGGTCCTGATCCCACTGGTAGTTCGATACTTTCCGCTCAGTGCTTGCTAACCTTCTTGATTCATTCCTAGTTTTTCGATGTTTTTTATTAAACTTATTTTTAGTGAAAGTTTTTTTCCCCAATGGCAGATTGTGAACAGTTACAGTTACAGCCTCTTAACCTATCCAAGGCCAGATGTGGTGGTCTCTTTATTATGGAGGCACCATCACCTCTTATGAAGGGACGAACAGTTACAACCAGGCCCTTCGGTTTCTCAGTCAGGCTTCCTTAACCACTATACAGTGTGGGCGGCTTTGTTGTTAGTGAAAGGTTAGTCATAAAAAAGCTTGATTCCGTTCATTGAGGTAACGATTCTGATCCAATCACATAAAACAGCAATTTTGCCCATCTATAGTTGCGTGACGCATATTTTAACAGCCATAAAGAATTAAAATGAAACTTTCTCCTTCATTTACCCTTTATTTCTTCACTGTTTCGCTATTAACTGTGTATAACATTCCTCTGTGATTTTTATTTCGGCACTTAAAGTAGTCAGTTATCTATTACCCCCTAGAAAATACTGGCCATGCTGGCTTGGCTGATGATGCTGTCACGCAAATCTTCTTACTCGCTACGATGAGACCTGTTTTCTGGTCTTGGTCTGTTATTTACGCTCAGGTCGTGTACCTATTTTATCCATCTATATGAAACTACATATCATCACATATCTATGTAAACCTCTCTTATAAATTTCTTAAACATTGTATAAGTAATTTCAAAATCCTTACACGATCTGTTTTCTCTGCCTCTATTTACAGTGTCGATATGCATGAAGCTGCTACACTTTTTATCGCAATAAAGTTTCATTAAAATTAGTTCTATTCAGTCATATGGAATGCACGTAGTCTATGCTAGGTGTCCAATAGTCACTCGTTAATCTGGTATCACAATATTATTCCATTTTCATAGCAATTCCTTTTTTATTAGTGTAGTGGATGATTGGTATGTAGATCTCCTCAACAGTAATTACAGGATTAAAGAATCATCAAGATACTTTCCACAGCAAAAATTTTCTGCTCATGGGACCTGTGGAAAAGCTGGGGCCATACTTCCTAATGTTTTTCATAAATCCGCACGAACAACATGCTCTTCAACCATAAATTTTCGACCTTCAATATTATCCATCTTTGGAGTTTAGGCCGACGTACTTTAGACTCTGGTTGTTTAAAAACAGAACTATTTAAAAAATAGAGGAGAGGAAATTGGAGTGTAGAAGCAAATGTGTCGCTAATTTAATTTAACATTGTGTTCCATTTAAATCTGCCAATTTTTTGTTTACCCTTCTACGAAACTTTTGATCAGCCTTCGAGTGTAAAGGTCATGTAAAAGTAATGTAGTAACGCATTTTTGCTGAAAGATCTCAGTTTATTTATTAAATTCTTGAACACATTTCTTCAGATACTAATTTCCTTATTCACCCTCAGAAACGATGCAGAAATATTAAAAATGTGGAGTCACTGCTGTTGAGTCAGGGTTGTTTAAGTCAAGTGAAACTCAAAACCTCATCTTAGGACTTCAGTCTTTGTTGCTAAGTAAACGCAAAGTCAGGGAATGCGTAGGTATTTTGCCGCCCGGTATAAAATGCGGGCACTAAATTCTGGTGGCACTGCTGGTACTAAATTCTGCAGCCCAGTAGCTGCCTAAATTCTAAATATTTTGCCGCCTCTTAATTATGCCGCCCCGTGCAGCCGCAATGGTTGCAGCGGCTCTGGAGCCGACCCAGCGCAGAAGCGGTGTAACTGGTGGTTTATGAGGTAGTGGAAGTCGGAGTCGCAAAGGGTCCCGCTTTTCAAAGAGACTATTAATTTTAATTTAAAAATTATTTTAATTAAATTTTATTTTTTTTTTAATTTTAAATTTAACTTAATTTAAAAGTCTTAAACATAGCTCGTTTCTTAAGATGAAGAGTCCCCAAATATCAGGCAAACAGAACTCCATATCTCATAACTCAGAAAACAGAGGAACCGTACAGCGTTGCACACTTAAGAAGGTGCTCAGCAACTATCAGTCCAGCGCCACCGCAGATGGGGCACAAGGGACTACTTATGGGTATAATGGTGAAGATGAGCGGCAAGGCAATCATGCCCAGTCGCTATTCTGAAAGCTAAAACGACCTGATCTCTTGGGCGTTCGAGTAACCGGAGAAGGGGAAGATGCCATAGTTTTTCCCTTGGCCAATTTTTCTAGTTCAAGGCCTCTGGAGATGTTTAATTTTCATATTCATAAGATGTGCAGATGATCTATAGTCAACGATACTGCACGAGGCTTGGATGACATTAGTGGCTTTCTTTGCCAATTCAGCCGCCACCTCGTTACCATAAATCCCACAGTGGGATGCAATCTACTGGAAAATCATTTTTTTTTGGATCTTAGCAATGTCCAAAGAAGTTGAAGCCAGCAGTTGAAATTTGGTCAAAGTTCACAATTGCTAGAATGGCCGCCTGAAAGTCAGAGAAAATTACAATCTGGCCAAAATCGTAAAGGTCAAAAGCTGTAAAGAGTCTCTAATTGCCCTTAACCTCTCCGTGAAAAGCAGAGTCAAGTATTCTCAGAGGAATATAGTGGAAAAAAAAGTTCGCAGTAAATACCCGAGCCAGCTCTTTGATTTGATTAATATTTTAAGCTATCAGTGTGTCACCCACAACCAGGTGTCAGTTGGGTATCGAGTATGAATTGTCTCCATTCCACTAAAAACAAGACATCAGGACTACTCTCCGATATCAAAAAGGCTGAGTAAGGTCCAGGTGATACGGAATATCTTGAAATTCCAAGGGGTTAGACGGAGGTAGCAAGTATTTCGAGATGGTATTAAGATTAACCAAGTCTTGCTATCTAAGTGCGCATTGAAGGAAACCATTCTTTGTCTTTAGACATTGTGAATTTGGAACAAAACAGGTCCATTTCTCATAGATCCTGATTAACTTCTCATACAGTTTTAAGGCAGCATTTATAATATCCTTTTCCATACTGAGTTCATAGATACAAAGGAGCATTGCAGCAATAGAAGATGACTAACTCTCCGATCATAAGAGGCAGAGCTTGGTTCTGGATTCGATCAATTTTTCCAAGTACCTTAGAGGTAGTAAAACGAGGTGCACAACAATGTTTTAAAACAGGTTTAACATAAGTTCTACATGTGGTAAGCAAAGTAAGCCTGTCACACAAAGACTTTTCTGGAGAGTGTTTCTTACTAGTTGAGGTTTCACATGACTAAATTGTAGGCATATATAAGGTCATTTACATCCTCGCCAATTTGATAGTATGGTCAGTAAGATCATTAACGAAGATATTAAACAGAGTACAACTTGTTACTGCGCCCTGAGCTAAACCGGTTTGCAGTTTGTTAGTCAGAAGTTGTCTCATCATAACGTACGTTTATATAACGCTATCCGTGAAATCCCTCATACATCGTAACATATTACAATATATATTCGTTAAGTTCATTTTTTGATATAATTTAATTCTACAAACGGAGTCACAAGCATTTCTAAAATCCACAAAACCGCAGAAACAATATGACTGTTATCTAGAGAATCTTTGCTACTCTCAGAAAATGTAATTATGTGCTCTCCGTAAAGTGATATCGTCTAAAACCAGCTTGAGCGGGATTTAAAATATTTCGATTGTTTAGCAACCAGACTAATCTACTATTAACCATTTTTTCCATAATTTTTTGCCGTAATACTAGTTAATGAAACAGGTCTATATCTGCCAAGTTCAGAAACAGGTTTATCTTCTGCAAGACAGAAATAACAGTAGCCTTCTTTCAAATTGAAAGAACGGAGTCTCTTCCGATCCAGATTTTATTAAAACACGCAAAATACTCTATCTCGCAACTGAACCAGTATTACGTACGAATTCAAAAAATGCAAATGGCAATAAAGAATTAGTTGTTGAATTAGCGGAAATTAAGTCCAGTGAACTAAACTGGATTGCATTTAAGGTTTTATATATTGATTCAAATTTTGCTATGAAATGCTTCCCAAACTGATTAAGAGTTTTCTGCATCTTAATATGCTGAAAAACACGTTTTCTTAAAATTGCTCAGTAAAAAGGAAGAAGTAATGTGTGTACGTTATTTATATGGTATAATACGATAAATATTTATAACTTTTGCAGTAGGTCAAACCTTTCGCCTTCAGTGGGCACAACCATCCTTCTTTGAAAATATGGTCCAACTGGCAAAGCAGCAATCACATCCTGCATGATAATACTATTTTCTTAATCAAAATCATCCACCAATCTATTGTTTCTTATAAAAAAGACCACATAAAATAACTAACTCCCCCATCAATTTCAGGCTTTTTGAGAAAAGTGCAAACCTAATCAGAACTTAATCCTTTTCACTTTAAAACTAACAAATAACTTTAAATATTAACAATCCGCAAAGTTCTCTCGTATCATTTAGATATCAATAATAAAAAAAAATAGTCGTTCATTGGCACAATTACAATATATTATTCAATGAATGTGGATGGCCCAATTCTAAAATTGTCAAATGATTGTGAAAAATTGCCTGTGAAAGATAACATGTTTGGAAATGAAATATGTAGGTGGCGCTGGCGTTTTTTGACTACTGACGCCCCCTATACAACTTCGTAAAGTGCTAAACAGTTCAGTTGTTGTCGGAGTACTGTTATGTGAGGTTTTGTCATTGTCATAGTTATGTCACTTCGAGTTAACAGTTTCGGCAAAGTTGGCACGTAGGTGTGTTTTAGTGCAAGGTACTGGTAGCCGAGGTTCCGCAAGCTTTAGTGTTTAGTGTTTCAAGAGGTACTGTATCGAAAGATTTCCGCATATTTGAAAAGCGGAAAAACATCATCTGCTAAATCACAGACGAAAGTGTGTCCTGAGTCGTGACAGACGATCATTAAGGGCAATTGTGACAAAAAAAAAAGAAGAAGACCACAGCTGCAAAGTTACTGCTGAAATGAATGTTGTGTTACCGAACCCTGTGAGTACCAAAACAATTAGAAGGGAGCTTCATAAACAGGGAATTGCTGGCCGTGCTGCAATTGAGAAGCCACTCATCAGTGATGCTAATGCCCGTAACAGGAAAAGGTGGTGTTTAAGTCGTAAATCCTGGACTATAGAGCAGTGGAAGCGAGTAATATGGTCTGACGAGTCTTCTTTCACATTGTTTCCCACTTCTGGCCGAGTTTACGTCTGGAGAACGCCATCTCAAGCCTATAATACAGACTGCTTGTTGCCAAGAGTGAAACATGGCGGAGGTTCTGTTATGGTTTGGGCAGCCATATCGTGGTTCTCTGCTAGCCCCATGATAACTATGTCAGGGCACATGACTGCCAAGACTTATGTGAACATTTTGGCCGATCATGTTCCCCATGGTACAAACTTTGTTCCCCGATGGTGATGGTGTCTTCCAAGACGACAAAGCCCCTGTTCACACAGCTCACATTTTCCAGGACTGGTTTTCTGAGCACGAGGATGAGTTGTCCCATCTCCCCTGGCCACCACAGTCACCAGACCTGAATATTATCGAACCTTTGTGGTCTACATTGGAACGGAAAGTGCGTTCTCGTTATCCACCGCCAACATCGTTATCTGAAACTTGCCACCGTTTTGCAGGAAGAATGGTATAATATTCCCTTGGCAAACATACAGGAACTGTATTTATCCATTCCGAGAAGACTGCAAGCTGTTTTGGATGCCAACGGGTTTCCTACACCATATTAAGCAAAGAAACATGTTTTTTTAAAGGTGTTTCCATATTTTCGCATTAAATGGGAAAAATCAAGTTTTTGACATCTGTTTTTTAGAAATAAATACATTTTTACTTTAATTATTGAACTGCTTATATTTAAATTTTCTGCATATTGTTTTCTAGAGTGTTTGCATCTGACGTCCGCATCCACTACCGGACAATGGAACACAGAATCTACAGGCATTCTCCAGAATTTACCGTATGTTGGAATAAGTTTTCGTATCTTCGTTACAGGATTAATTTGTGATATACTGCAATAATACCGAAAAAGACAAGAATGACTAAAAATTGAGAATACTGTTCAATAATGGAAAACGTATTCCTCATTGGCGTTCAGGATCGGATGGGGCTATCCTGAATTCGGGTAATTTCTCTAGGCGCCGGTGGTCAGAAGTCCATCGTGACATCTGACATTATTAGTTGAGAAACGGCAGTGGAGTAGCGAGCATAACTGGCGCCCGGGGCAAAATACCTTTTTGGCGCCCCCTTCCCCGAAAAAAACACAGTGATATGATGAAAATCTTGTTTGGAGACCATTTGGCGCCCCTCTGCGAGCGGCGCCCGGGGCATCATACACCCCTTGCCCTTAGCCTCGCTACGCCACTGAAAAACGGATAAATTTTTAATCACAATTGCAGGATTCATGAAACAAAAAGCAATAAACTCGTTGTAAGAAACAATTTCATGACACTGCAAATAAAAATAAAATAAATAAATAAATTCGAAAAATATGCTGCTAACTGTTGACGGAGGATGGGGACACCGTTTGTTTATCATAGGTTAGTCGACTTTGTCCCACGTCTTCCACGCGAACCAGCGGCCGAACGGTAAAGTCTCTGAACACTGGTAATTCGTTCGAAGTTCGACCTTTGCAAATCGGCGACCTTTCACATAACATCATATTAGCATGTTGGCATCTTGATGAATGAAGGTCTGTTCTTCATGATATAAACTGAATTCATAAGGGTGTCGAGTACCTCTTGAAACTTAGCGAGCAATGCGGAATCAAAAAAAAAAAAAAAAAAATTGCCGAAACCTTTGCGCAAGTCACCGCGTCGGTCAAAACAGCCCCAGCCGATCCTGGCGGAATTATGCAAAATACTTAGCCTTATACAGTAGGAATGCCATACAGAAAAAAAGAAATTTTTGATTTAGTGAGATTAGTTATTATTGCTTTTTTAACAGAACAGTGCATTTGACCATATTGAAAAGGGTCTAAGTACTACGCCAAAAGACTTGGATCCGTTCAATAAGGTCCTTACATATAGCACACTTGTTTTATTAGTGAAAAAGTAAAGCTGTATTTTTTCTGATGCTGCAAGGATGATATCTTCGTAAGCATTTATACTCAAAATCGCCATTGCCTTGGGAAGGTAACTGTTCGAAAAAAAAAAAAAATTTTGTATCCGACCTCGTTCGGGTACCATTTTTTTAAAAATGGTTTTTATTTTAACTATAAACATATTAATTTGAAGATAAGCATATTAATTAATGAAAACAGCTTAAAACATAAGGCTGAGTAGTTTTAATTTTGAAAAAGAATGAAAAAAAGGATAATTTTTCCCTAAATTTTGCCTTTACGGCAACAACCACGGTGAAAAATTTATATATAAATATGCAGTTTTTTAATATGTATTTATATTTACACTTGTTTTGTATGCAATGAAGCAAAATAATTAAGAAATATTCATATATTCTTGAGGATATATGAATATAATATGGAAAATGTATAGTATTTACTGTATATTTTCCTATTATTGCATCCAAAATCTAAAAATAAAAAGTAACAATTCAACTTCTAATTAATATTTCTAAAATCTTCCGCTTCAGAGCATGCATCAGATTATATGAAACATGGATAGAAAGCATCATTTAATTTTATCGATAAAATTTTGAGTTATGGCTGTTACTATTAGCAATATTTGCAGAAAAAACATTTTTCAGAAAACAAGTTTAAAGTTTTCATAAAACAATTTCTTAGTGAAAGAAGCATCTCTGATAATTAAAATTCGCCTGCTTTGTAACTGACACCTTATTTTTTCTTCACACACTTTGCACTTTTTCTTTCGAAGTTTTTTAATAGCGTAAATTTTTATTTGGGTTTTTGTAAAACTTGTGGAATGCCGCCAAGAGTCATGATTTTGCACTTTATCAAGTTTCGGAATTCCCTGCTCAGTGTAAAATTCAGGATACATACTTAACCTTGAAAATGCTTCAAGCAAAACCTATAAATCCATCATTAAATAACATTAAATAACACAACACTTACATTTGCTCCAAACATTAATGTTCGCAAGTTTATGAATGTTTCTTTCAGAACAATTTGCAATAAAATGCCATTAAAACGTTCCCTGATATTTTGAGTTTTGCCATGTATGCACTTTTTAATAACTCTTGTTTATGTAATCAATTCCATATATGTAGGCTTAATTAAAATATATGTTGATATACCAGAGGTTTTTGCCTGATTTTTTTTTTCCTGATTTTTTCCTGATTTTTGCAATCGCACATTCCAACTCATTGATTGAGGAGAGCATTGGCTTCGAAGAAGAACTACAATGGAACAAGCAGCTAGTACAACCTGCTGCATCTCAATTAAGTTTCCACATTACTTCTAATTGCAATCCCTAATTCTGCAGTTTATCAATAAAAGAATCAGCCAGTTTAGCTTTTCCTTTCAATTCAGGAGCGGAGTTTTTCATTTTTGCTAGTCCACTATTAACCCTTTTCTATACATGTCCAATGCATTCCAGTTTCTTGAGCGAATCTTTACCATATATATATCTCACAGTTAAAAACCCCTTAGAATCCCCATCCTCATAATACTCCGTGTACTTCAGCTTTCGTAATGTGATAAGTCATTCAAAAAGCGCATAAGCACCAACTGCTTCCATACCCGAGGCTGCTTTTTTATAATTTGCACAACAATTATGTTACATATGTCGTGAAGATTGCATTCCATTCTGTTTATTTTGTTGCATATGATGCAAAAATGTGACATAGCTTTCAAATCAAGCACTTTGTCAACGCTAATCGACAAAGCAGCAACACATCCATTCAACGTCGAATAGCCTCTGCGCCAAACTAAATACGAAATTAAGGGAAAAAAACTATCGCTAGATTCTTAAAATGTATTACAAAATATCTAAACTTAGTACGAAGGTTTATAATTTACAAAATCTTGATAATAAAAAAGGTTTTTTAATAGATATATCTATTTAAACGCTCACTTCCGGTTCAGAATATTGGAACTTCCGGTTTATTCCGTTACAGAAAAATGCTTATTACTTCAGTTCTAATTAACCTATCAACAAGCAGAAACTTGTACTTTATAGCCAAAGATGTATTCTTTAAGATAATGTAATAAAGTAAAAATCGAAATTTTGACCGAAAATCTTCTTTTGTACGAGGTCGGATACCTTAAATGAAAATATTTTCTGGCGAATTTGCAAGTGTATTCCTTTTTAGGTATTTTTCAGGCATCATGTAGTTAGTTTAATACCACATCATAAATAATAAATACAACTGTTTTAGAAACGACCTGCGGCTTAAAAAATTCAGAATTTCATATGATAAAAATAATAATATGGGAAAAAATCCTTCATGAGATTGCTGTTTTTTTTTAAACTTTCTAATTCAAGAGAAAAGTCAGTTTTTGATTCTGTAAACAAGTGAGAATTAAAAAATCTAGTATGTAATAATAAATAATGTAATAAATAATGTAATCTAGTATGTAATAATAAATAATGTAATAAATAGTGTATGTTAGTAATGCATTGCTGCGATGATATTCCGTTAAACACTATCAAAGCTACTTCCTTCTTGACCAGGCTTATCACGGGTAGCAGTACATATCACGGGGTTGGATTACGAAAGGAACGATCTTTATACAGCACGCTGATCATAGACTAGACATATAAGGTGTATAAAGCATCATATGTACAATACAAATAAACAAAGAAAGAGGGATCACGAGAAGGCGAATAAAATTCTGTATGCAGATATTTACGGATTGATTAAGCTAAAGATTAAAAAAAAATCATGGACAATGTTCACAACAGCATATGCAAATGCATACGAAAGTGGTTATATTAATAGTAAAGCTCTTTTGCAACGGCAATTATGACGGTAGTTCTGCAGTGAGGTTAAACCTATAGGTCAAGGCCGGACTTGAACTCAATATGAGCACCAGATCTATACATTCAGTTCATGAAAATATATCATGTGTATACATAAACTAATAGTAAGAAACATTAACCATCTAACGGTAGACAAAATATGACAACCTACATCAGAAAATTATATTTCTAAATAAGTCAAATCATGATAATTACAAAAAATACGATAAGCATGCTTGCAACATATTAATTCCGTCAAGTTTATATTCCACTTAATGTTTCACTCAATAGTTTTAAAGAATTTTCCTTTTCTAGACTGAAACTCTCTTCAGTTACCTGGGAGGAATCACTGGAGGTTGGCTTGGAATTTCACTTTTAGAATTCTGTGCTTTCTTGGAAGGCGTTTTCTCTGTCCTAATATTCTCATTGAAAAGCTGCAGCAAACCCAAGAAGAAGAAGAAGAAGACACCTCCTGTTCCTAAAGTTAGTTCTGTGTGCAGAAAGCCAGAAAAACTGGAGGGCATCCTCCTCGGATTGCCCATAGTGCGATCCGGCAAGACCATACGAGTTGTGCCCTACCAATATTATTAAATTTTAATCCCTAATATTGGCAGATTAAAAAATCTAATATGGTCAGCGTCCAGCTATGGAAAATGGAACATGGCGCCCAACTAATACCATGGTTTAAATAACAATAAACTTTAAGTAACGTATTCAGTGATACTTAAACCTCTTTGTTATTTAAAACATGGAATTAGTTGATCGTTTTTAAATAAAATCTAATATATTTATAAACTTTGTGCTCAATGTTAATTATAAACGCTACTCGTTTTTATTATTTTATTCCCCCATACCATGGAAAGTTATAATTATACAAACTGGTCATAGTGTTTCGGATTCGCAAATCAATGCCTTAACAATCAAAAAATTTTAAAAGCAGCATATCTTTAGAAACTTCTGATATCGTGTTAAGTGTTGCCATACATTTATTTTCAGTCTTTTCTTAGTTCGTGATAATAATGTTCAGCTTTCTTAATAAAGTGACAACTTTTTTTTTATTTGCACTTTTAGATTTGTTTATTAAACATCACTTTCTTCGCACTTACGCCACGTAAATTTTAATCAAATTTTTAACTGCAGCATATCTTTAGAATTTCCAGTAGAGTGGCAAGTGATGCCATACACTTTTTATATTCGTTATAATATTTTGTTTGCTACAGTATTTCTTTAAAAGTAATACGTACTGATAACATTTGGTGGCAGCATCCTTTTATTTGAAAAGTGATTCCGACATACGAGTGAAACGAACACAAAATTGAGGATTGAAGCGACCATATTTAATTGCTTCCTAATGACAGCTCGTCTTCATAATGAGCTTACTCTTGTAACATTTAATATAATTCCAAGAACACATTTAAAGCTTGTAAATGTTATTGTGCTAGTAAATATTGCTCGCAATCACTTGCATGTTAAATACCAAATCAGAGAAGTTTGGGATTATCTCAAAGTGTATTCTTTCACGAAAATCTTAAGTTCCGTTTTATCAGTTTAAGCCAAAATGTAATATGTTGTTTCCATCGATATAAAGTTTTTAAATACTGAAATTGGAAAATTTTGGTTTATATTTTAATATAATGTTTTATTAAAATATAAATAAAATATGTTGCGGCTTTGAGTAAAATACCCTTCTGGTTATTCATAAAAACAGTTATGGGCTTCATGTAAAGTACCACTTCCGGTTGTCCAATTTTACCTAAAATCTAATCGACTTTTTATACGAATGCAGGAAGCTTCAACACGCAATATGGAAACATTTCGGAAGTTTCATACAAGAGTAATCGTGGACGAAAAAAATCGTCACATACAGACACCCAGACAGAGAGACGTCACTCTAAAAATAGTCAAAACGTGTTATAAAGACCCATATTTGTACTTTTCCAAAGTGAAATTTTTGAATCGGAAACATTACCTCCCTAAACTATAGAAACAGGTTGACGGGAGGTAAAAAGAAAAAGAAAGAAGCTTTTCTTGCTTAAAACAAGTAAGAAAAGAAAATATCGGGAAAGACAATTTCTTTGAAGTTGTCGCAGTTGGATAATGATGTATTTCTCAATAATTAATTTTTGAACAAAGTAAAAATTTATAAGCTTTGTGTTCCGCTGTTTTCAGAATAAATTACATATTTTCATCACACATAAAGTTTATTTTGTATCTTTTCATAGTTTTTCATTATTGTACTTGGTCAAAAGTGAGCTGGAAATTACTTTCTAATTTGTGTAATTTTCTTAACATAGTGAATCAAAAATAAAATCAGCATATTTTCATGGGTGTAAGTTTATTCAAATATAAACACAGCTGACACATACCGCATATGTTTCTAGCACCGCTATAAATGACAATCCAAGAGAATTCTTCCATTTTTTCCTCACTGCAAAAACTACATGTTAAGCTGTTTATGAATTTTTAGACAATTTTTTACATTAAGATTGTTTGCTTATTTTTAAATATTCTGTTTATAACTTAATAAGAGGTTATCATTCAAGACAAGATATTGTATCTTAAAGTGGTATTTTGATCGAAACTTTTTACTCTTATTAAGACACCGAAACCTTTTAGAAGTCTAAAGATATAGGTGTAGACTACCACCACGAAGGATACCAGCTTCTATATCATTGATCATCAGACAGAGTTCTCAAATGGTACTCTTCTAGAGTTGTACTCTCCAAGCCTTTGAGACAAACAAGAGCTTTCCTTCGCAGCTCTGTGAAAAAAATCTTAATGAAACCAGAGAACCCATTCATTTTTTGGCTCAATGGTCATGCACACCATATGACATCCTAAATTATGTATATTATATCCCCGTTTTCTTAGGGTAGGCGGTCACACCCGTTCGGCATTAGCCTTTGTTCAGAAGACAGAGAAAAGTGGGAATGAAGGTAAAGAGAAAAATAGCAAAAGTGTATTTTCCTTTGAGAAAGGAATGTGGATTCTAATATCCAGAATGTGAGATGATATTAAGACTTAGTAATTTTTTCGCAATGTTATGAAGTCTCTTTAAATGCATAAGAAATTCATCTGTGTAGATGGTAGTGACTTTGTGCCTGTCACTGTAAGGAATTAAGTACTTTGTTATGCACAGATACAGGTAGAAACTAGGCCGGCACCTCTGTAGTATCTGTATGCATTGTGGTATCCCCTGAGGTACTGCTGAACCTAACAAACTATTAAACTTCCGTCCCAGAAGGAATTCTGGAATTTAACAATCTGCACTTCTAATGACTTCCTCCTTCCAACTAAGTTCAACAAAAGAGAATCTAAATAAAGCAACAGAAAAATTTATAACAAAAATCCAAGAAGTCTGTGAAAATACCTTCAAAATAAGATATGCAAAACAGTATTTTCATATGAATTGGTGGCCTAAAGAGTTATGCTCTCAGAAGCACAGGATGAGAGAATTGAAACGGAAAATGGAATCGATTACCGGCGATGAATTAAGACACCATAAATGGCTTAAATTCAAAAACGAAAATGCAGACTACAAAAAGATGATTATTAAAGCTAAATTAAAAAGTTGGCACAAATATTGTTCAAATAATAAATAAATTTACGGCACCTTATACAAGTATAAGATCGCCAGCAGTAAAATATTTAAACTGTGACAAATCCAACTTTCATCAAATTTGCTTTCAAGTTCTGCTGACATTCAAGATGCCACTCTCTCAACCCTAAATGAAATTCTTGATGCTGTCTTTCTAAAGGATAATCCAGCTAAAGATTCTCCTTCTCACACTATAATTCACAATTTCAATGACATTCCGCAAACAGACAACGATATTCCATCCTCAAAACAAGAAAAAAAGCTAATTATTAAAAACCTGGCTTTAAAAAAGGCACAAGGCCCAGATGGCATAACAAATTACATTATAAAAATTAATCAATCAAGCCCATCCTGATATAATCTGTAGTTTTTGCAAATGATGTATAGAGCCTTCATCCTTTCTTGATTGCCTGAAAGTTGGTAATATAACACTTTTCAATAAGAAGAATAAAAGCTCCGAGGAACCTAAATCTTATCCTCCGATAAAATTTTCTCCCAGCCCTGGAAAATATTTTGGAGAGATACCTCATTGGCCACCTAAAATTTCACATTTACATCAGAAACTTAATAAGTAATAACTAGATTGGAATTCGAAGTCTATTTTCAACAAGTCCTGCAATCAATTCAGCTCTTTAATAAGTCAAAAATAATAAAATCAACCAACTTCATTCTGCAATAATATGTCTTGACTTGAAAAATCAGCTTTTGATTCTTTACGGTGGCCGACAGTTTTACAATCTCTGTGTTCCTTTAAGTACTCACAAAGTTTAGTTCTAATCATCCAAGATTATTTCAGAAATAGGAAATGTATGATTCTTTACAATAACACTCAAATTGTGCGTAATCAAATCAGTGGACATCCCCACGGATCTTGTATGAATGCAGAGCTTTGGAATATCAGTTTCAACAATACCATTCCTTATCCATAGCCAAAACACTCAACAACTATCGCTTTTGCAAACGATATTGCTTTTATTACAAGCCGTCATACCAGAGAAATTTTACAGGATAATTATAATGAAACACTTCAGATATTTAACCAACTTTGCAAAACTCAAACACTGCAAATATCATATAGTAAGTCTTAAGTCATTATAAATCAGGACAACATATAGCTAAAACTTTTATAGCTCTAAAAATTGATAATCAAAAAATCAAGTCTTTGAATATAATCCAGAATCTTGGGTTAATAATCAACACATTTTCCTGGATTTCTCATCCACATAATATTAAACTTCGTAAAACATCTATAGCCAACTGCCTATGACGGATGGGTATAACTGGGGCTTAAATCCCCATATAACACGGGTTCTTCTATAAACAGTCATATCAAAAATGGTAAATTACAGATCCGGAATTTGGGCACAACCAACGACAGTGAGAAAGATTAAATGTTGAAATTTAATTCAAAGGCCTTTTACTCTTTGCATTATTCGAGCGTATCGCACAGCTTCAAATATAGCTCTTGATATTTTAGCTAGTACTTTTACACTATCAATCAGTGCAGAAATAGAAATACCTACATGAAAGTCCTTCAATTTCACCAAGCTGCAGAATTTAATAACCAGACCTTTAAACCAATTAACTATGAAAAGAAAAAAATCTTATTCGTCCAGAGCTTCGCTTTAAAGCAAAATAAAATTCCTCATGTGTGATGAAAATTCAAGTAGTTCCATCTCCAACTGCATATACCAATGGATAAAAAATTGGAGGAAAAGTTGGTCTATTTTCAAATTGCTCCTTCAAATATAATCAGATGAAAAGGTCATCTCCATAATAATAATAGTGTTTTGTAAGCCATAAAAGCAGCCCTTCTAAAAAATCTCAACAAATTTACCATAAAATCAGACTCCCAAGCAGATATTTTAGCGGTTAAGAATCTTTTACCTTCATCTCCAATGATTTCTGACATAAATTCTCTTCTTGGCAAAATTCCAAACTACAAAATTCAAATTTCATGGATCAAAGGACATAGTGGCCAATTTGGTAATGATCAGGCAAATGAACTAGCCAAAGAAGTAACTATTAATCAAGATGGTACTGAAATCATCATTCTGTGGCCTTGCTCAAATTTCAAGTTCCAACTAAAAAAAAACTTGCTTCAAAATCTTGGCAAGATTTGTAAAATAATGATTTACAGGGAAGACGCACATATAACTTGATCTGCAATATAAGCTTCGTATCTCTCTACTTAAACCCTAAATTACTATATAACAAGATACGGACCCTTTCCCACATATTTCTATGCAAAAAATATGGTGAACTCCGATATTTGCATATAAGGGGAAACAGGGAACGTTACTTTTTCTCATGCGCCTTAACTGAGGATATTTACATCAAATCTCGACAAACTGATCTCCTGGCATTCCAAAGGTTTTTAATTAAAGATAAAATTCAGTATCCGAAGTTTTAAAAAAAAAAAAAAAATGACTTTCTTCCTGTGGCCTAGATCTTTCAAGTACAAGTTCTCTTACTACATAAATTTAGTGAAATTTTACATCCTGTGAATGTGTACAGAATGATTCCACTTGTGAACATTATAAGCTATTACAACCTTTTATAACTGAAATGATTCCATGGACACTTACCTCTTTATTATTATTACTACAATTCATTATAACATTGTGTTCCCAATACTTATTATAATTATCTCATTATGTTTGTGTGTTATTTTTGCTGCACCAAAACATATGTTCAATTCAATTTGTGAATTTCAAACTGTATTGAGACTATATTGTAATCTTTTTATGTCCTAAATCATTATTTTTAATAAATACTGGATGCGGGGCATACGGTGGGATTGCACAAGCTTCAGTTGACCATTTCCTCAAAATTTCTTTGTAAATTCCTATAAAACTTTATTTTTTTAAGAGTTAGTTAATATGGGAAGGCATTACTAGTTGACCCATGGTACATCACTGGTGTCCCCATACTTTTTACCTGTACCTGTCAAATCCCCCAACTTTAAAGCTTAAACAACAACCAAAAGTTGGAATTTGAAGCCTGAAAAATTCTTGCCATTTCTAATGAAAATATAAACTTATTTGCAAATAATTTCTCAACTAACAAACCTAGATTAAATCTAGGTTACTGGGATTGTAATTGAAAGTCCTGAGCAGCCATAAATTTTTGAAGAAAAAGTGGAGATAATCCATGAAGTGTTTCAGTGAAGCTTAGACACACACAATTTGAGTAAGGAATGAACATAAATTAATTCCAAGTTTTGTGTTCACATTTTAATAGCAAAAGTAAAGTATTACATAATGTTTATTACACATGAATCAAGCTATAAATCATTAATCAAATGGCATTATTTTACAAACTGCAAAGAATAGGTGAATATTTTACATGAACATCGGCATATAAAGCACAAAGGCATTTTTGCATAATGCAAAAGCAACTGGAAGGATTATACAACTTTTAAATATGCATGAAGCAGGGCTTATTTAGATTTAATATTGAAAATTTACTTAATACTTTATTTTTAATAATTTTAAATACTCAAAATTCTGTAAACCGTTGTACAAAATTCTGTTTATGTGTTCAAATTTATAGTCAAAAAGAATATTATAAATTATTTATTTGGCACAAAAGTTCATTTATAAATTCATGAAAAAACAACAACTGATTCTTCAAGAAAACAAATACATTTTTGTTTTAGCATTTAACAATAACAATGAGGTTATTAAAATGCTTAAGTTTATACCTCTTTTATATTTCTCTAAATACATTACAAGGAAAGACTTGTTCAATAAAATAAACAAAAATATTTTTTGTTATGTTCTTCCTAAACACTATAATCCCTTTAAAAATACATAGTAACTGATATGAAAATATATTTTTACCATAATAATTAAAAGGCAATGGAAGCTAGTATAAAATAAAACGTATACATAATACATATCTTTTAGAAAGATTACTTAATTAATAATAAAATAATGGAGATGGTAAGAACATTCTGTCTATTGTGCTTTATCAATACAACTGTTTACATGATTTTCAGCAGCTTTAAGATCAGTGAATCCAAATGAACATACAGGGCACAAAATAATTCTGCTTTGCTCTGCATTTGAAGTTCCCTGAAAAGTAAAAACATAAACTGAAAGCACAAAGGTAACTTGAAAAAAGCTTACCGATACATGTTTTTATAACTAAAAATATTATTTCACAATTTGAAGACAATTTCAAATTTATCAATGTCCATGTTTAATTTGTACAAAAACACAAATATTTTCCAACTGTTGTAAAATCTGGAATAATTTCTGCTATATGGAAGATTAGACTGAATTTGAATGCATAACAATACCAACAGTATAAACAGAACCAGTTTTACACCAGTTTTTGAAGGTTTTAGTTAATTAAGTTGTCTGTATCCTTTTTGTGTTTTATTTTTTTAGTTCCTAAAGCAATTTTATATGATTAAAAATAAATTCTTCACATTAAAATTAAAGAAATGTTTATAAATGGGTCAGAAAAGTGTAACATATTTTAAAAATATCATTAATTCTTGATTAAAAAAAAAAAAAAAAAAGAGTTCAATTAATGTGGGTATTCTTTCAATTATGAAAAATGTAAACAGATTTAAGTTAAAGAACAGAAATTTACAGACAAAATGTACAACCATGGAACAGGATAGAACATAGCAACTTGAGTCTGGTAAATTAGAAAATGCTTCATACGTCTGCATAAAATTATACTTATTCTAAAGAACTGACAGCCAATGCACTTTAGAAATTACGAAAATCTGAATATGTAAAAAATTCTGATAACATAAAACACTGCCATCATGTAAAAGAAAAGAAACAATTGCATACTTTCATTAAATGGATTAAAAAAGTACGTTTTAATGAAAGTTCCTCGTCACCACAAATATTATCTGCGCAAATGGTTCATATTGGCATGTTTAATCATATTTTTTCAAACGATTTATAGCATTTGAAAGAAAGAGACTAGTTTTATAATATTGTGATGTGAAATTTGTAAAAAAAAACATCATTACCATTAAGGTGTCTGAAATGGAACTATCATGTTATTTACTTCTAGTTCTGTTGCAAAAAGTCAGTTACAGAATGTAACCAAATCATGTGTACAGCTTTAGGTACTACTGTTGTATCATATGATACTGTGAAAGTTGGTACCAAAAGTTCAAAAACAAGGACTATGACATTGAAGATGTGCAGTCTGGCCGGCCTACTGACATTGATGATGTCCACCCACAAGAACTTGAGAAAGAAGAACAGTATGCAAGCACTTGAGAGCTAGCTAAGGAGTTAGATGTTATGTGCCATGTATATTAAGGGCCATTCCCAATTTGGTTTATCTGAGCTTACAGAGACAACTGACGCAGTCGACCCATCTCCAAAACAAGTTTTTTCCCATAGGGTAGCAAGTTGAAAAATCTGAATTGCAGGCATAGCGGAAGCTATTCGATACATGGAACTGACTCTGTTAGCTCAGATAAATCCCAGTGGGAATGGCCCTTTAGTTGTGCTATGCACTGCATAAACTTGATGTACAAATTCAATCACTGGGTGCTGCATAAGCTGACTCAAGCAGATAGGGACAGACAGACTTGAGCCTGCACTAATCTGCTCAAATATTAATGCAAGGACAAAATTCTAAACTGGATATTCACTTGTCACAAAAAGTGGATTTACTTCAACAACACAGGCCAAAAAGAGGGTTGGTCTGAGCCTGATAAGCCCACCGGCAGTGCCGCAATGCACAACCTGACTAACAAAAAGATCATGCTTAGTATCTCGTGGGATGGCTGTGGTATTATCCACAAAGAGTATCTGGAAAAAGGTAAAACCCTTGAGAGTAAGGTGTACAGCGAGATGCTAGTCCATGTTGACGCTGCTATTAAGGAAAAACGTCGAATTGAGTTCTGGCGCAAAAAGGTAATGTCCATCAAGATAATGCAAGACCACATGTGTCTGCATTCAGCCATTGGACTCTGTATGAACTCAAATGGGATCTTTTGCCACACCAACCAGTATAGCGCTGACACTGCTCCTTCAGACTTCTACATTTTTTCACACCTCTAGCTACATCTTGCTGGTGCTATCTTCCATTCTGCACAGGACATCGGAAATGAGATTGATCTAACTTTGGACTCATGCCACGATGTTTCTGGGCCAAGGGCTTTGAAAAACTACCAAAATGTTGGCAGAAAATCATAGATTTGGTTGGTGATTACTACCCACACTAAAGGTACTGCTTTCATGTTTTCTTTTACTTTATTAAGAACGTTTTTTGGTTGAAAACTTTTGTTACAACCAGATATTTATAGGAAAGAAATTCTCCAATACTTACGACTAATCTAAGTTTGAAGAAACTTTTTCCTAATTTTAAAAATCTTTTCTGATTAAAAATTTCAACGGCCTGAGCAAATGAAATCATACATATTTTAAAATTTCTGGTTATCATAACTGTGCACTAATAAACATCAAAATGTTAAAGAAGCAATGAAAGTAGTAATCAGAGTAAAATAAATAAAATTAATTTGATTCTCACCTTTTTGCCTCCTATTTTCACTTTCAGTCTACTATGAGATCTTAAATCAGAAATGGCTCGGGATGCATCACTAAAACATATATTGAAAACATATTAAAAAAACATATCATCAAAGTAAATATATAAAAATTTATTCAACATTTGTGCTGCAGATTAGCTTTTTTACAACATGTGTCCTGTCTAAAACCACAATAATTATAAAACTCTGTTTTTTAATTTCATAATTAAATTTTCTCCTTGAGTCAAAACTTCACAAATATAGACTATGTGGAAAAACTTCCAAAACAGAGGCGATGTTTGCACATTTTTAGAATGATCTCAATACAGAATTAAAAGAAAGCAAATGTTTTGTAAAAACAAAATTCTCACAACAGATTATTTGAAGTAGAAATATTGTCTGCTACATTATTAAAATTTCAAGTGCAAAATAAGCAATATTATTAGCTAGATAGGAAATAAACTGTCAGTCATTATTTCTACATGGAAAGAAGACTCTAAATGATCACTCGAAAAAGCTACATAGTCTTTCTAATGTTTCTAAAGTTAAATCGTCAGTAACAAGAGAAAAATTTAATGCTGCAGAAATCAAAGTCTGTATATACATTTGTAGCAGTAATAAGTAAAATAATAAACACAGATTTATAATTTTAAAAAGTTAATATAATGTTCACCAGCTGGACCATTTTGTTGAGTGACATGCCAGAACACAGAACAATTTGTAGAACTCTGTATGAAAATTATTTAGCAGGAGATAAATGGAAATACATTGTGATCCTTGATGAAGCAAGGGATTGATTGCAACAAAAAAGGTCCATTTATTTTTGATAATGAAGAAAAAAAAAGGTACCAATCTGGTTCTATCAAAGCAAAGAAAGTTTATGAGAGGGGTTTATAATCATCAGAGGACACTCTTACAGTGAGAAATTAAGAAAAGTGGAAGAAAATGTTAAAATCAACTCAATGTACTACACAGAGAAAGTTTTATGTCTACAGAAGAAATCCAATTTCTTTTATCTCAATGACTTTCAAAAGCAAAGCTTCATCCAAACTACATAACAAGCCAGACTTAATACCATTACATTCCTTGAAAAAATAAAGACTGATAAACATATAACTTTTCAATGTATTCCTGTGAAATCCACTGACATTTCTCTTTTGAACTAATTTATGGATTTTATTTTGGTATCTTGAAGCAAAAAAAAAATTTTTTTTCTAAGAGCAAACCCACCATGATTGATGGACTCTGGAAAATAGTGGAAAGGAATAAAATCAATATCCTTTGAAATTTTATGAAAAGTTCTGGTGCCATGGAAATATCAATGCAGACTAATATTAATAAAAAGAAAAAAGGCTATCAGATCAACATTTCAAAAAATACTTTTTCACATTAATTAAATGACCCTGAAATCATTCTAAAAATGTGTTAACACCCTCTATAGTGTAATGTCTCATATCATACAGTACTTGAGTCAAGATTAAACATGTATAAACACATATAATGTTTACTTTAACAGTCCATTTGAAAAAAAAAAGTTTCAAATTCAGTGCAGTAAATGCAGAGATATCACTTAACAAACATTTCTCTGACATTATTCCTAAGCGTAAAATATTTGCCCTCAATTCTGAGAATGTAGAATATTCCTGCAAACTTTTGCACAACCCAAGATAAATAGTTGATGATAAAGTAAAAAAAAAAAAAAAAAAAACCGGAAACTATTTTGAGGGCGAAATAAAAGAGTTTTGATAAGATATTGTATTTCAAATTTTGCCTCCTGCATTAAACTTATACAAATGAATGCACCTTGTTTGCCTGTTTATACAAAACGGCATAGTAACTATTTCAACTTATAGATTTTTTATTTCATGACTAAAAATTTAAAGTAAATAATTTTTCATGCTATTTTCATTGTTTATATTTTCATGTAATATTTAAGTTGCATATAAAGAAACACTTAGCATATGTTCACTGCATTATTAAACAGAGCCCATCTAAATACACATTATCAAACAAACAAACAAACAAAAAAAAAAAAATCCATGCACCTGAGAAAATGAAACAGGGATATTCCCCTCCCCCCTAGGGGCCAACTGGGAGCAATCCTGGCATTCAGGCTACGTTATTACCTAGACAGAGGTTCAGGCTTAGCAGAGTCAAACAAGTGTTCTTAGATATTTTAGGTGGATGCATAGCTGTCCATCACTGTGACTTAGTGTGCAATTACCCAGACTTTGTGAGATAAAAATTGTCCCCCTGGGCTGACTGGGGGCTTATGCTTCCTTGGATCACCTCTAGAGGTTGAGACATTTAACTGTGGAAAGGCAGCCTCATGCTAGCCAGGTCTGAACCAAGAATATGAAAGGGAGAAGAAAGCAAGCTCACATAATGTAAACCAGCCTAACTATCCTCAAGCGACTTTTGAACTGAAGCCAGCATGTGGTTAAGCAAACATGCAGGGTGCTGGCAAAATTCCTTCTATTTGAAATATAAGTATGAAGCATAAATCTGCTATTTGAGAATTAGCTTGTATTTATATTTAAAATCCTTATTTGCAAAGTATTTTACATACGATTTTTTTTTTTTTTTACTTTACAGAAAAAATTGTTCAATTTACGATTACTCGTTTTCACATTTATATATTTAATAAATGTTTACTATTATATTAATATTTCTAATGTAATACCAGGGATAAATAGAAAGGGCTAGCTCATTTCTTTGTTCGACTTCTCGCCGATGCGAGCCTAATGGGGGGGACTTAACAGGCAGTAATCTGACGTCACTGTGATGCCAGCTGTTCTGATTTCTCACGTTTAAAACTGTAGTTTCATTCAGCTGCAAGACAATTTTCTAGAGGTTACATATCCCAAATTAATTTTAATCATATATATATCTGTTTTCTAATAATGTATATATTTAAAATAATTTATATATATGTAATTTTAGTCAGTTTTTATTTTAAATTCTATATTGTAAAGTACCGCTTACGTAATGTGGCTTTTTGCGCTGTAGTAACGTGCCGTAGCACTTACAGAAGTACAAAAGGATGAGATTTTATTTCATACGACCAAAGGATCCAAATGAGATACTGCTTTTGACGAAAGAATGGATACACAAATGTCAAAGACAAGATTCTATTAATGTAAAGAGCATAAAAATCTGCAGCAAACATTTTCTATGCAATGTTTATGAAGATGATGTGAAAAATCCCTTGTTTGGATAGCCACAAAAAGAAACTGTTGAAATGGAATGCTGTACCGAAAGTAAATTATGATGACAATAATAAATCAAAATTGATGTGACAATAATAAATTCAAATTTTAATGATTTTGAAACTCACAATGAAAATGTAGATATTCCTGAATGCCCTAAGTTTAGGATAAACAAGAGTGCATTGATAATTTGAGAACAAAATAATATCCTTAGAAAATTGTATTAAAGTATTGAAAATAGAGAACAAAAATTTTTAGACTGTTGTTCAGCGGCAAAGAAGGTGATGACATCTAGACAGAAATTGGTATCAGAAATAAAATCTCAATCGTTGAAATGGGGGGGGAAGCCAAATCGGAGAATTTGAAAAAATGTCTAAGCCTATTTTATAAAGATGCAGATTAATGTGTATTACTGAAAAAATCAGGTGACTAGTGAAGATATTTCACGTTGCATTGTCATAAGGAGCTCTGTCATCTTAAAGCTATGATTTTTGAAAGAAAAAAAATTAAGAAAAAAAATGGAAATCTCTTACTATATTAGCAATTAAAAAAATAGTGCACTAAATTTTAGGAGTCCAAGATTCAAAGTGATGATCTTACTCAAAGAAGGAAAGAGGCGAATTTGCATTCTGTAGAAAAATGCTTCTCAGTTTCGACAAAAATGCAATAGATTGAAAACTCCGCTTTGCTCTAAACTGGACCAAGTTCTCGATTTTTAAAATGTGCAGTTTTTTAATCAGGGGTCTCATTTCGTGCTCTGCCTCAAATTTGAAAACCACGTTTTAGATAAAGGATTATTTAGAAGATGGAATGTTTTAAATTTTGATATTATTAAAGATTTAAATAGAGATTGAGAAGAAATCACATTGTGTCCCACAACTAAAACCGAATTATTTAATGGTCAAGGGAAACGAGAGACAAAAAGTCGCTCCAGAGAAA